GTTGTTCGTGCCTTCTCAAATGGATATAAAATTGAGTGACAAAAATGCATCTATCATGATAACTTTGCAAGATATATGCTAACTCTGACTTACTGCTACTAATTGTATACTTAATTACCAGGCCGGGATCTGCACAGAATGTTAACATATTAATTCTGCTCTTCTGAAAAGGAAGGGAGGAAATCCGAAGGAAATCAGTTTAGCAATTGCAGGTCCTGATGGTATCCATTAATGATTCTTCTGCTGTCATATGTACTGTGCAGATTTCTGTTTGCAACTGATCACAATTTTTTAATAAACACAATGACATAGTTTTTGGTAGATATTTAATGGAATAATTTCAACAACCGATTTACTCCAATGTATATAGAAAGACACAAGTGTCAGCTGTCGCCCTGATGCTATTTCCTGATACTATTGTGTCATCTAATTCAAACAATATTACTCTCTCAAGACAGCAAGCACTTTCTTTTTAACCGACAATTCCCTACATCAGTTTAGAGGAAGAAATCATTGTACTGTTTCTAGTTTCCATAATAATTCAATTGTACTGCTTTTGGGATTTTATTCAGTAAACATTGTCAATGACCACAGTTAAGATGTAGAGCTAAGCTACCATAAAGTTTCTTTCTTGTGTCAAATTTGATTCTGTGATTATCCGTAATCTATGCTCACCTCCCTCCATAGAGCGAATTATACTTAATGGAAAGGATAATTCCAAAGGAGACAATACAACATAAAACCTTATCCTGCTATGAGCAGCCTTTTTCAATTTAGTCAATGAGGCTTAACATCACACAGAAAGGGGGAAACACTAAACATTTCCCAGCAGTACAGACAGCATTAGTAACATACCCCTACTTAGAGAATCTTATACATAAAAATTTATAAGGCTGTGTAAATTCAGGCTTCTGCATAAGCCATGGAACAAATGGGGTAATTCTGTGATTATGTGTAATCTATGATTGCACAATTCTTAAGGTGGCCTTTTAAAAAGTCTTGTCCAATAATCACATTATTTCTTATTGTATAGCCTCATTTTTTATTATGATGAACCTTTGACTTGCTAAGGCAGATATCTTTAAGTAGACAATCTGCATGGTTGCAGCAATCCCTTACCTCCAATTCAGGATGTGGTGTTTGAGCTGTACATTACAGTATAAAAAGCATCTTTCTGTATTCTATTAAAGCAGCATCAGCATAAAGCAGATCCTAAGGAACTGAATACATTCTGATTTTTAAAAAAAATATAGATTAAATATTAAATTTCTTTCTTATTAAAGAGAGACTTTAAAATTAAATACTATCTGAACATTGTGGAAATGATACAATCTCATAAGAATGAATAAAAGGTTGTGTTATGTTCACACACACTGTGCAACCTACCAGCATGGACTCCTATTTCAGTATTGCATCTTGTGAAAATCATTCCCTTTTTGAAATCCCCATTTATTATTTTTACTGAATTAAGACAACAAACACACAGGCTGAGGCAGCTGTAATCCTAAAGATTATATAAATATGTTGCACTGTGTTCTGAATGAATGTGTTTTAGTGATCAAAATCTCTGTTTAAATCACTATCAGTGGAAAAGATGATTGAAATCATACCAGTGAGTTAAATCAGAATTTTTGCTTGATGATTTACTGTGTGTTCTAACTTTCCTACTGGAGCTTAACTCTTAAACTACCATTTCTGTTTCTTAGATTTGGATTTAGGTCTTTTTTTCAGAATATGGTCAACATGGAAGTACTTTGAAAAATCCCCAATCCTACCATATTGTCAATCTAGATTGCCTTGTCACCAGCTTTCCAACTGTTCAGAATAGATAGTTGTTATTGGGGTTATACATCCTTTAGCCCAAAATTACAAAATTAGGAGATGTATCCTTGCAAAGTGTATATAAAGTATTCATTTATTTTTATGCAACCACAAAAGATTCAGACACCTGCAATTTTTTATAGTTTTTCAATCTATAACAAATTAGAAATCATTTTGCTAATTTTTAAGAATGATTGGATTTCCAGAGATAAAAAATTAACAAATGTGTATGTTTTGAAATAACTAATTAATTTTTAAATATGTTAATGAGATCTGCTTTTATTACATCTTTATTTTGGATTATACTCGGAAGAGTAAACCAATATTTTTGATTTGAAAGTAACCATTGTCATTTCACAGAAAACATTCAAAACTGAAAATCAGCATGCCTTTCTTTAAGCAGATGGATAGTATTGGGCAATATGTCAAATTCTATTAAGTAGGCTCACAAATGTTTGGTATCCTTATTAAATGCTGATAACAGCACTTTCTAAGCATGCTTCCATATCACAAATAAAGAATTGTGGGATTTTTTTCTACAAATATGCCAAATACACACAAAAAACCCCAACATTTGATTTGAAAAGCACATATTCATATGGCTACAGAATATACTATAAAAAAGCAGTTTTCTGACACTTCAAAATATACTACATGTGTAAAATGAAAGACTTCAAATTCCATTCAGTTTTGTCATAATCCTTCTTTGCTCCACATTCTGCATATCTTCCACATCTTCTGAATTTTATATGCTAGATTTATATCCTCCCTGACTGCAGAAGCTCAAAGCTCAATATCTCCCTTCATTTTATCCCAACAAAATATGATGTGGGTTAGGCAATCAAGGAAGGATAGGGAGAGAAAAAAATTAATTTCTATTCTCATTTCCAAACCTCATTTCCAAACCTTAACCCAAGTTTCAGATTGCTAAAAACCCTTGATTTAGGCAAGTTCCTTTGTATGCCAAGTAAAATACAATAGAATAATACCTATTCTGCAGAAGCTATATTGGCTGCCAATAAGCTTCCAAACCACATTCAAAGTGAATGCCTTATAGAATCCTATGTGATATAGCAGGGGTCATCAACCTACAGCCCACTACCAGGCCATGGCCAGTTTGGAAATGGCTACCCAAGTGGCAACTGGCGGATACATGTGTATAGCTCAAGTCGCGCAAGTGACAGGTTTGCCACACACGCAGCTCAAGTCACACGAGCGGCGGGCCTGTGCATGTACACATGTATCAACCCACCACTTGCACAGGCCAGTTTCCCTCTCCCTCCCTCCCCACATCTGGCTTCCAAGCCATAAAAGTTGGGGACTTCTGTGTTATGGGGTCTCCTTATCTTTATGAACTAGATGCTTCAGAGGAAATCTGCTCACCCAATGGAGTTTAGTTGGGAGGGAATCCTATGAATAACCACTTTTTGAGTATGAAGTCCATATAGTTTTATTACTGCAAGCTACTTAGAATCTGTTGAGTATAAATAAATACACACGTCTGGTTTTTTTCTTTAAAAAGTTGAATGCATTTATAAATCCCACATAACAATATCTGCACATAATAAAACCTCCCCAAGAACACAATTCTTAAAGCAATTTCCAGCTTAGTTTTCCTTGTAGACAACTGTCTCCACTGAAGATATCATCGGCATGTCTGCATTCTGAAATTTTAACACTGTTTATTTTTCATTTTGACATATAAAATATAAGCACTAAAGACAAGAACTGGATTAAAAGCTAAACATATGAAACTCTGGAGCCTGTCCAAACAAAATTATCCCTAGGTGTTGATGTCCATTTAATAAAAATTCAATGTTGTAATTATCTTTCTACTACTTCCCCAAAGAGTATTAGTACTCATAACCATATTTCTCATCCAATTATTCTTATGCTGCAAAAAGACAGATAGGGACAGTGGCCAATTGCTGCATCAAATCACTGCCTTCTAACAGATTTTTTTAAATAGTCTTTTTCCACAAGTAAAAAAAAGCAACACTACGCTTAAGATAGAAAATAGCAATACTCCTTTCCAAAAGAAAGGGCATTGTGGGATAAACCAGTAGTAACTTTAATTCAATTAAGAAATAAATGCTGCCTTTCTCTTTGTTTTCAAATAACAGCGAGGTTACTGTCTTTTAAAATCATTCACTTTCAATTACACTATTAAAAAACACCAAAATAAATTTCTTGCCATTATTTAATGAAGCTACCCATCTCCCACAAAGTAGTCACCTTTACTACTATACTCTTAGCAATCTAAACCTCAAGCAAATTGTATGTTAAGAAATTTATGAATCATGCATAGTCAACAAAACTCTGAATGCACAGCTAATTATTGAATATTCCATGCCAATGCAATAAATGTACCTGCTGGGCTGTTCATTATTTTCCATGTTTGCCAAATTTAACATCAAGAAATTTTTTTAAAGTAATTCTATTTAGCCCTATGCGGAAAGTGTTCTTTCCTAAAAAAAATGAATTTGTGAAAAGCACAGTCTTCAATAAACAGCCTAATCAGAGATTTACCAACATTCTCTAATCTTTTGATAGCTTTTATCTATTCTGCCATTTCAAAAACACAAATGGTTTTATCCAGGCTATCATACCACGAAAATGTAAGTAATTGACCTTCTTGAGACAACGGGAAAGAAAAAATTGACAATAACTGCACAACTCTAACCCTAGATTAAAATGAAACCACACATCTACATCCTTCTTGTTGGACATAAGAAAACCCCTCCTTGCTGTTTGAGCTGGAGGGAGAAAGAAGGATGCTGTAATGAATACACATGTAAAGCATGTACTATTTTTTATGTCTTCCAAGAACCTTATTGTAAATTGCAATAGTTGTTGTGCTGACCAATAGCATATTCATTTCAATCAATCTGCCCTCTTCAGTATTATTATTTATGGTGAAGAAATGACTTATGGCAGCTGAACAAATGAAAAAGATCGCAAATCCAGAGAATGCATTTGATGAATAATATATCCTCTTTTTAAATGGATACGTTCATCACTGGCAAAAAAAAAAATCTAAAAAGAAAACTAATAAATTACAAATTAGGTTTCTCTTTCTATTTCCCACTTCTAAATGAAGGATATGCTGAGAGAGCTATTGTGGACGAAGTATCACTTTACAGAACAAAAGCAGACAATCAGGAAGGAAGGTAACAAACCTGTTGCTGTGGATATTGCATTCCTCCCATGGAACCAGGAGTCCGGGCCTGCATTGCCATTGGAAAACGCTGGGGTCCTGGTGCCCCATATGACTGCCCTGGATATGGACTGCTGGGCTGGGACTGAGCATGTGGGCTGTTGCTGACTGCAAACAACTGAGGTCTTTTCATTACCATTGGATCCATTGGGTTGCCCTATTGATTAGAGTGGAAAATGATAAAAGCAATGTTTTAGTCCACTGCATAAATAATTTTGAAAATCTCTTGGCTGGTGCAGTTTCAAACAGTCTTCATTCTGAAATGAAATCTGCTTACATATTTAAAAAAGTTTAATTTTTAAACAGCAGTTTAGGTTCAAACATTATATAACTTAGTTCCACAGAAATATATTCATATAAGAGTCACAGCAATTACACAAGGATAAAACTCCTTAAGGATGCATCGTTAGCAATGGGAATATCTTACCAGACAACAGTTTACATAAATAATGTAACTGCTCCATCTTTTTTACCACTGTTCACAGGGTTTTATTTTTTCATTTTTTATTCCAAGTCAATAAGCAAATTATACAATATGGTTCACATCAAAAGTTTTTATTTTTGTTTTGAGTTTGGAAAATAATAATATCCTAGTTTTTGTTGGTGGCACATATAATACAGTTACAGCAAATCATCCCTTCCTTTTTATTTGATTTATATAGCTAACCACCTCACACAGAAACTCTGGGCAGCTCACATTAGGTAAAAGCAATGCAAAGCACAGTGCAATATTCAATAACATACATATCAGCTAATATTATTCAAATATGTAGTAAATGACACAAGTATTTTTAAAGTTTTCTCATTTCACAAAAAGTGAATGACAATATATGTTCCTTTCTATAGGCAATTAAATTATCCATAGTGTTTCTTAAACTGAGGAACGACCTGTTTCTATTTACTTTTTGTATGGAATTTAGTAATTCAACAAAAGTCAATACGTTTAGAGGAAAATAACAGAAAAAATGTGCATATCTACATACTCATATATATTCATATCTACAAACTCTATTTTTATCATTATTATAGCTGTTTTTAATAGCAATGGGTTTATAATTTAATGTGACACTTTAAATAGATCACAGTTTTCCATTATATGCTATTTTGCTGTTTTTCTTTTAACATGAACAAATATTCAAAAACTGATTTTCCTGTTTCTAATCATTGTTGCTAACTGAAACTTCACAACACTTCTATACTGAATTCGTTCAGGATTTGTTACCAATACAATTATGATGTGCTATTCGATGTGCTATACCAATACAATTATGATGTGCTATATGGACCATTGATTTCTGACTGATGGAATCCATAATTTGACTAATATTTTTTCTTGTACCATTTAACGTGCACTATTAAAGGTATGTTTTAATCATCTTGGATAGATACAACTCCAGGTATTTTCATGCAGACCATTGGCTGCCCCTTTGTTCTGCCCTCCACATGAGATTTATCATTTAGCAATATCACTTAGACTTGTATACAGGGGTGGGATCCGACCGGTGTAACTATTGGTTCGGTGATTTTACATTTTGCGCATGCATGAGTGCTTTGTGTGTGTGCGTGTGTATATACCGTCATCATCTAGCTGCCTGGACAGCTGAGCAGCGCTGCACACAGGTGCGCAGCAGTTGAAAAAGCACTTTCTTCCTGCTTTTTCAACGGCAGCTGTGTCGCGCAAAGCAGCTGCAGTTGAAAACGCAGGAAATAAAGGTCAGGTAACAGCCCAGGCAGGTAGGTGGGCCAAAACAGCAGCAGACATAGAACCGGTTCTATATATGCTCTCTGTTTGCTGCTTTTCTGAGCAACCAGTTCTACAGAACTGGTAAAATCCTACACCTGCTTGTATACCACTTCACCTTGCTTTACAGCCCTCTCTAAGTGGTTTACACAGTCAGCATATTGCCCCTAAAAATCTGGGTCCTCATTTTACTGGCCTCGGAAGGATGGAAGGCTGAGTCAACCTTGAGCTGGTTAGGATCGAACTCCAGGCAATTGGCAGAGTCAGTCTACAATATTGCATTCTAACCATTGCGCCACCACGGCTCTCAGGTCTTATTTGGGACTTTCAGTGGTGTCTTTCCAAAGAAGCTAGAGTTTAAAAATTAAAAATGACAAGTTCATATCCACTTTGATTATCCACTACAGTTTATTGGTGGTCATGAAACAAGAATTTAAATTAACCATAAATTATTACGTTGTTAGGAATTGGATTTAGATGTATGGAGCTTGCACATACTCCTAATAATAAATTAAATTTACTCATCCAAACATAGCTTTGCTTTCTTGTCCTTTCTATGTTTTCAATATTAATTTGATTCAAATAAATTCATGCTACAATGATATAACCATAATCAGAAAATGGCTACTGGCATATTAAAAATGCGATTAGATCTTACTAGTATACTGCAGTTCATCTTAAAAATACAAAATAAGATTCTACAAAATTAAAATCAAATGAATTATAATAGTAATTATTGCAACATTTTTCAAAGACTCTATCACAAATTAATTATAAAAATTGCAACAGCTAAATTTGCATAAACATCAACACATATGTGCTAGGAAAATATATTCCTCAGAAGAGATGTGCACTTATATATGAATAATTTCCTTCATGGAGATCTAGTCTGATGTAGTGATTAAGGCACCAGGCTAGAGACCATGGGTTCTGGTCCCATTTAGGCACAAAGCCAGCTTGGTGACCTTGGGCCAGTCACTCTGTCTCAGCCTTACAATGAAGGCAATGCCAAACCATCTGACAACTTGCCAAGAAAACCACAGGGACTTGTCCAAGCAATGGAAAGAAGCCAAACCTGATTTGAAGGCGGGTGCGGGGGTGGGGGGCAAGAGAATTATCACCATATCTATACCCAACAGTGAATGTTGGGTTAACTCATGAGTTAAAGCTAAAGATATGCAGTTGGTTCCTATTTACATAAGGGACTTTTCTCCCTGCAAAATACCAGTACAAATTCTCTGCAGATCTCCAGAGGTGCAATTATGGGACTTCACAGAGCAGAGAGGAGGTTACCAGTGATACATGTTCTGACTCTGGATGAACAATGTTTCACTAGTTCTTGACACTGCATTTGAAAAAGTATAGAAACTGGATCAGATTCAGACAACGGAAACAAAAACAAGAGATTAGAAACTGAAGTCCTATGAAAAGAGACCGAGTGAAATGGGAATATTTAGCTTTGACAACAGAAGACTGAGAGGAGATATGACACCACCCTTCAAATACATGAAAGAACATCACACAGCACAAGGTCAAGATCTGTTCTGCACTTTTCAAGTGTGCAGAACATGAAATAATGGATTAAAGTTGGAAGAAGGCAGATCTTATTTGAATTTTTTTTTTAAAAAAAAAAAACCTTCCTAACTGGAATGATAGCTTGACAGTGAAACCAATTACCAAGAGAAGAGGTGGGCTTTCCTCTGTGTTCAAAGAAAGAAAACCCAGAAAAAACTACATTGGTTTGTTGAGCTGAGCAGTGGGTTTGACTTGATGACCTAACTTGCCTCCAACTCCAATGATTTTATTGCACTACATGGCCATAATTGCAATGAGGAGGTTTTGCCATATTTCTCCCAGGACTTTTAGAACTGTGGAGCAGTGGAGAGAGATACATCTTAAAATATTAAATAGAAATCTATATCTTTCCTCAGTCTAAATTGATGGCCTTTATAAAATAAAGCAATGAAATTAAATGTCACTTCCTCCAGTTGCATGTTATACATTTATTCTAATCTTACTTTTAAAATACTGGGGTTAGGGTATCAACCATTCACAGGTAATTTACTATACGTTGGATAAATCTGTGATGGGCATAAAGCAAACAAATCACAATCAACCTCTCCCATCCCTTTTTAATGAACTACATACGAGTTGGCTTTTTGCAGTGCCATTGTAAGGGCACATAGAGGTTACAATAACACTTAAACCCCAATTACTCACATTTATCCCACCTGACGGCTGAAAGAATTCTAGGACTGAGAAAAACTAATTACAGTACTTGGTTTTCTTGTTGTATATAATGTTACTGCATTATTTAAGAGTAAGTTATAGGACCTTGCACTGTGTTCCCCTATCTGCGTCCCTACTTCTAGTTTATTTTTAATCCTGACTTTCTGTTACCTTGCACCCATCACATCAAAGTCCTCTTGAAATCGATATAAAAAAACCTTCATCCATAAAGGAACAATTATTCTATTTTTTTATGATTATATCTGAAAGTTTTACTTTGGGTTTCTTGACTTACATTTCAGGCGTTTGGAACATTTGATTGCTTTTTTTCCCCCCAGTTGCTCACAAAAAACAATGACAAATCCTTTGATTACCTACCAGGACTATGCCAGCTGCATTCCCATATCTCCCCCAAAGGCTGTTCCTGAGGATGAAGGGAATCTGTGGGAAGCTGCCCAATGGAACATATGGTTGCAACAGACAAAGAAACTGCGAGGAATTCTATCCATGAAGCATTAGTAGAAGTACCCAATGTTTTTATTCTGCTATAGAATACATTTCATTATTTTGATACATTATGTACTATTTCTTACGCTTCTGTGCAACATGGAGAGGTTTTAAAAGTTCATTTTTAAATAAAAATGAAAGGCAATACAGAAAGCTCCAATGGAAAATGGAAAACTCCAATAACATTGTTTAACTATGATATATCCCACTTCAAGAGGCTCATATCTCTATTCATAGTAGGTTTTTTTTAAAAAAAAACTTTATCTAAGAAATACATTTTCTCATAATTTACTTTGCTGTAAACCAATATAATTCAACTATGCCTAACAGCTACAGCTGCATGAAGATAAACTGCCTAAAAGCAACACATTTTAAGTAAATCATGAGCCCTGCCCTCGTTGCAAGCAAGTTCCCCTAGGGAACCTGCACAGATTCACAATATACACTCAGCATTTTGATTTCCAGATTTAAAGTCAAAGCGCTAGATTAATGTTCATAACGGTTTGAATAAGAGCCTAAGCTGAGGGCTTGCAAGAGATGAAAGATAGAGAATAAAGCAAATAAAGAAATGTTAGGAAATAGTTTCCAAGTATAAACTGATATGTTCTTCCAGAATGTTTCCCTATGATTCTACCTATATTTATACAATATATAAAATTGACTTTGTCCTACAAGGAGAT